GCCATATGGCCGAGCGTACCAATGTGTCCTTCACTCGGCTGATTGACCTAGCGCCCTGGGCCGTTCGTCAAAGCATCCAGCCCTTCCGTCTAAGCTTGCGCATGTCCGCCAGGACGTGGCTGATGTCAAAATCAGCAAGCTGCTTTTTTCATAATGGCAAGGTTGGCAATCCATACATCGCGGCAGGAGAAACCACCGCATGGAAAAGCCTCAGGCGATTCTTGAAAGAGACGTGTCTATTCAGCAACATAGCCCGATGAGCATGGAATTTACTCCACGCAGCCGGGATCCGATGTGAGCATTCTGCTGCACAGCGGATGCGCAAATTACCACAAAACACACGTCCAAGATAATGACGCTGATCCTTTCCATGAAAAACGGAAATCACGTCGCCTTCCACATCCAAAAACGTTGGTGATGTGAGCTCTTTGGTTGTGAGAATCCTGCTTTTCGGGGTTCAACTGTCATCCAACTTAGCGCAACCTTTGAGAAAGCGTTTCCAACATGTCCACCAACTTGGACTCTTCTTTTTGCTGTAGAGCACTCGGCCATCTGGAAATCGAATGTTCGTCAACCGTTCGACGTGACCAATGTGAATCCCACCAATGGCCGACCGATTTTTCCATGCTCGCACAGCTTCCTCAAGCCCAGCGTTGAAAAGCAATGGCTTCAAAATGTCCCCTTGCTTGATTCCTCGCAATATCTGAAACTTTCGACTGCCGTTAACCGAACCATGTTGTCCAATTTACATTGTTTTCAACAGCTGTACACATGATAGTGGCACCCCTTGCCTGGCAAGTGCAGTGAAGGTTGCATTGTGTTCGATGCGGTGAAAGGACCTTTTTTAATCCAAACTTGCAAGCCATCAGTCACAGTTTCACTCAATTGATTTGCCATGCACGCCGGGTAATGGGAAAACTTTGCTCGAAAACCCGCCGCGGTGGGCATAGTGGGCGAAGGCCATGGATAGCATGACTGCTCTGATGGCGACCGGTGCATGGCTCCACCGACGCCTGGTGACGCCTCGTGCCCACAGGCCCGCGAGCGTGCTTCAATGCCTACCAATTCTTGGTTCAATGTGTTGCTCCTGCTTCATGCTGCCCGGCGGTTGGATGATACCCCTTCCTTATTGGGGTAAAGCCTAGGGACCCCATTATATAGTCAAAGTGGTCCATGAAATGCGGGTCTCAACTGTTTTGGGGGTACCCCGAAAAGTCTATATACTGAGGCTTTTGAGATTGGTCCAAACTGTTACACCCAAGTATATCATGAGGGAGAGCGGCGCTTCAGGACACACAACCGGGGGGAACACGCAATCACTGTGTCCATCACCCGTCACAGAGCGCAACTGTAGACCCTGCTAAGGACCCAAAAGAAGTCCTGGGAAAGGCTGGGTGCACAGTACATGTACAAGGGACACTTTACCACCGGTTCATGTTCGGTGTCATTTCTCATAACCTGTGTCTAGAATCATTATAAACCGTGCCAGAGGCCCAACAGAAGTCTTGGGAAGGGCAAGGTATACAGTACATATACAATGTCATCTCAAATTCCTGTTTTTGGTAGGTATCATTTCTGAAAGAATCACTGTGGACCGTGCTAAAAGCCCAAAAGAAGTCCTGTGCAGGGCTGGGTATACAGTACATGTATAGTGGAAACCTGGTGGGCATCATGTCTCGTAGCCTCTGTCTATGTCTGGAATCATTGTGGACCCTGCTAAAGGCCAACAGGAAGTCTTGTTGAGGGCTGGGTATACAGTACATGTACAATGGAAACTTGGTGGGCATTATCTGCCTAGAATCACTGTGGAACCTGCGCGAAGAATGAAAAAGGATGCATCGGACAATGCTGTTATATTACTTCAGTTCCACAAAAATGAACCCCAAATCCCACACATATTTGATCAGGCCAACAGATCGCAAGTTTTGTTGGTTTGATGTTGCTGAGGTCCCTGGGCAGGTCATTTTTCAATGACAGCCCTGTGTACCCCCACACTTTCAGTAGGGAATCATAACAAAAAAAATCGGGGTCTATAAAATGACTCTCCCATGTACCCCAGAATCAACACAGGGCACCCAACATGTCATGCTACACCCGCAAAAAATGGCTCGCCTACGGACCCCCCACGAAATACCCACTATAAAATGACCCCTGTATAAAATTAAAAACATTTTATAGGTGACCAGGGCTACCCATTTCATAGAGGAATAAGGGAGGGGTATGTTCGATGCGCAGCTTACTTGTAACTGCAACAGGAACAGCTGGAGTGACTGAATCGAGTGCAATTCCACGAGTTGGATTTGTCTGCCTGGCTGCACGCAACCATTGCCAGATGCGGGCGTTCTCCAAAATGGCAACCTAGCAGGGTCCCCATGCAATGCAAGCAATTAATTCGTAGCGCCTCCACCCGCATGTAATCACGATAGCCATGATAGCACCAACTCCTTCATCTACTGCCCCATGTTGCTACACAGGGCATTAATCGTAGCGCCTCCACCCGCATGTAATCACGATAGCCACGATAGCACCAACTCCTTCATCTACTGCCCCATGTTGCTACACAGGGCAACACGCAACGTATCCCACGTCTAGAATCGAGACGACTCGGCCGGGTTGAGGGCCTTGTCGAGCTCGAGGCCGTGTTTTTTTTGGCTGGCGCCAGCAGGCACCAACCACGTATTGCCCGATGCTGTGGCGGCGACGGTGTGCAGTACTCAGACGGCTAAATGGGACCACCACCTTCGCGACCACGCGGGCACTGACCCAGACCACAGCGCACGAGGCGTAGGGCTCCCTGGTTCCACCAGCCGCCGACCTTTGTGCCCAGGACCACCCCCATGCTGAGCTCCGGGTACGCAGCGCACTTGCGTCGCTCTGCCATCCTGAGCGGCCCCCAAGCAATGCTAGGAGCTCAGCTAAAGCTCGCGCTTTTACTGTCGCCTCCGGCGAACGCCCGCCAAAGAGACCGTCCAAGGCGTCCCAAATAGCATCGTCATGCATTTTGGCATATGGACCATGGATCTCAGAGCACCACCTACGGCTTGCATCTGCTTGCAAGAGGCCGGCAGCATGTAGTTGACAGTGACGGACACGTTCCAAATCTCTTGCAGGACCTTCTGTTGCCCGGTACCCAGGCAGCATCTGAATTCGACCGCGCTGTCATAACATTTCGTGGAAGTGGCCAATGGTACGTCACTACGTCATGTTCCCACAGTGGCTCTGCCTGTTGATCCTGCTCCACCTGAGCGTGCTGACTCGCAGGACCTCGTGCACAACAACAACGTTCCCATGCCACGTGATTATATGGTATCGGCCGTCCCGCCAACTGAACGTGCCGCAGGTACAGAGCCTGAGATCCCCTACGCCCCACGCACTTGCATCAGCACCGGTGTCAGTAGCGCGGGAGTGCGCAGTGTGGCACGCGCCGCCGCCGTCGCGTTTGCAACGAACCCATCCCACATACGACTCTGCGTTATCACTGTTCGCAAGGCTGCCGCTTTTCCGATTGTGCAGCTTGTTTTGCACCATCCGCACGACACATTTCCGACACTGGAGCAATGCATCGGCGCTCGAGTGAACCAGCCCGTTGCACAGATGCCCCTTCCACGGGCTCAGCCCATACCTCCACATTTGGGCGTTTACAGTTGACAGGGTATGTCAACATCTCACTTGACGAATTTGGTGCCAAAAATCCATTCACTCATTGCCACTGGTAGTGTTGCAAAATTGGGGTCCCACAAGTTGGGATTGAGGGCACCACTGCGTGGGGTGCTTGGCTGCAAATCAACCGCAGGCACGGCGCGTTCGGTCGCCGACCCCAGTTCATTTGACATGTTGTCAGCTACCGGATCTCTTTTGCCATTGTTCCGTACATGGACTTCAGCACGCCTTGCAAACTTGTCCCTATAAACCCCCTGTGTACCCGCCTTTGATTCTGCATCGCACCCGGATCCCGATGGCATAAGTTCCCTAAGTGATAATGAGGTTGATGATGGCAACAAGGTTACCAACATGGGTTTCGTTGAAAATGTTGTTTGTGCGATTCCTCGCTGCGACACGCACCCGTCGCAGACAATCCGGTTGGCACCATTAGCACGTTTATCTCAGGGCATCCAAGATCTGCAGTCGTCTGTTGTGTTTTTATCCAACATGGTCAATAGCATCCCCCCAGACATTGAGCTCGCGTTTGCCAGGCGTTTGTGCTGGGTCCGTCAGCCACCACACGGCACAACTGACGCCTCGGCGCTTTCCCTCCACCTCCTCCACCTCAAGGGGTCGTTCGTCGTATCGTGCGGCCACCACCCCCTCCCCCACCTCGCGTGCAGAATCCCCCGTCGCCCCCCCCACTCTGTGCAGTGGCAGAGGGTGAGTGCAAACGGCTACCATTGGTTTCTGGGACAATGCGTCGTTGTGAAACACAGCTCATTGACCGTGTGCTGCCGCCTCCTCCGCCACCTCCGCCGCCACGCCACCTGTGTATCGCGATGCCAGCTTGCAGCATCCGAATTCGACCAATCCCACCCTTTGCAGCTCCCCAGCGCGTGCAGTAGGCGAACCCAAATCCTCTGCAATGACCTGCCCCACCGAAGTAAGGAGAACTAGAAGCCACTCTCACACAAGCTCCTTCATAGTGAAATCATACATATTATGTTGCTGCCACAGGCCTCGTGCACAGAACTGGCATCCGTGCCAGGCTTGCTGTTGCAGTTTGCCGCGGTCCTTGCGTTCATCGGAAAGTCTCTGGGCATGCTACAGCAGTTATTCCTTCTCTGTTCCAGGCCATACTTAAACCGCCCCAACCCCATCATGCTTCGAGCTTGGGAGGAGGTGGAGGTCTTTCCAGAGTATCGTGTTCTGGTGACTGAGGATTCCGATGATCAGACTTGCTGATTCCAAAAACATAGGTTCCTCGAACCTCTGCCTTTTCGGAGCCACGCAAGCTGCTTAGTGCGTTGGTTATCCGCTCAATCACGACAAGCATCAACAAGCTGTCCGAGATCCTTGAGGATTTGGACCCGGTCTTCGTAGTCTCAGTATGAGCTGTGGCTTTCAAGCTCATCTCTGAACCTCAGATGAACACATGTGCTCCCGGCATATGATCAGCTGGAGTCTGCAAGCGCGATGAGCGGTATGAAATGGTATCTATATAGGCATGCTTCGCATAAAACCAACATGTTTTGCCAGCTGCACTGCCATGCAGTAGGAAGATGCTTTGAACTCTCTAGGCCGCGGCGGTGCCTTTTGAAGTGCCTAAAAAACAGTGCATGCTGGCGTGAATCCAATCCAATGCCAGGGGCACTTTGGGGGATCCTATCAGGAGGTGATATTACTGAATCATGCTTCACTCAGTTCGATCAGGTGCACGTGTCCTGGCACGGCGAAGCGCCGCCTACTGTAGCACCTCCGTGGCTGTACAGTTTGACTCCCCATGAACTCGGGTTCTGCATTGCATGCTGCTTAGAACATCAAGAAATTATGAACCTCTGACGGTTGAGCACTTTGAATTAAACGCTCGAATGATCGGCTCGCCTCATTAGAGACAAGACCCCACAAAGATGATCATGCATTCAGCAATGCTCAGAAGAAACCCCCAGAATTCAACATAGCATGCGAATGCGATCGCCATTCTATGCAGGAGACGTTGCAGCAGAAGCTGGTCACGCTCTGCACGAAGACTCAGCAGGTCATTGCTTTTCATGCCCTTAGGTCGGCGGGATGCCGATGCAGACACCTGCTCAGAGCACACATGTCAGGCCGTTGTAGAAAAGCGGCGTGCCTCACCTGACGTCGCGATGGGGTGCCAGAGCCAAATCGCATAGGTGGATTGAATGCAACACCTCAGCACAGGTCCAGCTGCTTGCTTTCCAGACACTGACCCAACTCAAAAAAATTATGATGGATTCAGCCACAAGTCGCCGTGGCCGTCTGATTGCTGCCAACTTTTTCGTAATTGAAGGCGCGCGCATGCGCACATTCAAGAACAGCTAATCCCATGGGTTGACTTGAGACAGGCTGCTTGTCGATATCTGTGGCTGCGGGTCACTTTGTAGAATTGCCAACTCACGTCGCAGCAAGAACACCTGTCCAGCTCGTAGATCTAGCAAGTTTTGTAATGCTGCGCAAGACGAAGACTTGCAATGTCAAGAGCCTCGTTTCGCAAGGAGAAGAGCTCCTGATCTTCCGCTGTCGGCCTAGGCCTTGGCTCAACCTGTGCAATCGCGCGCTTCCCCTCAGCTCAATGCCGTGCAAAAATCCATCAAGACGGCGCAGCTGCCCCCAAAATCCGAAATTTCATGTAGCGCGTTCACTCGTAAATTGCGAAGCTTGCCATGCGACAATCTGGAAGAGGGCCTCTCAACTGTCTTGAGCACGTGATTCGGTGGCACCATGTGGCCTTAGGGGCACCGCAGTGTTTCAAGGCCGCCTAAGCACCAGAGCAATGCTGTGATTGGGTGCGGCGTCGGGTTCCTATGAGCTCTAAGTGTTTGTACGGGCCTCTAGCAGTTTAGGGCATCTTTCCGCTTTTGGCTAGTCGAAAACACCTGTCCGTTTCTGTAGGCATGGCCTCTGGAGTCGCAGAGCTTCCTGTTTCTTTCGAAAGGTACGGCACGCGGACGCGGGATGGTTGTGCAAGCATGGCATTAAGTGCTTTATGATCGCTCAAAAAAAACCAAGCACGCGGATACCTTGTGAGCATTTTGGCCGAGGATTGATTGCCAAGTCGACTGGCAGCGCATGTAGCGCAACATGTTCGCAGTCCAGAAACGTCAGCCTTCAAGAGAACAGGGTCACGACTCACGCTGGCTTCCATCTCATCTCAAAGCTCTGAGCAAGAAGCCATGAAGACCCTCTCACTGTGAAACCCTGACAGCTGTAAACACATACTTGTAAAGTCCGATCGGCCATCTCTCAGCTCAGCTCTTTCAATTCCCATAATGCTGGAAATAAAGCAGATCCTTGCACAGAGCTTGCCTGGTCGCTTTTCTCGCTGGTCACGATACCCACCTGATCAGAGCTGACGAAGAGCTGACGAAGTGCTGCCAAGGCACTCGTAACCAACATGTTCAAAAATGCAGTAGCTGAGGGTCTCTCATAGCCTGACTCACTTGACAATATCTTAAGCACAGAATTCACGGAAAAACTGCGCCAGGGAGATCCATGCCTAAGTCTGATTTATTCGGGACTTTATTGACTTTTTGGTGTCATTTCCCGAATACAAGGCGAAGGCTTCTCGTGTTAAGGACTAGGGCCTGCCATGTAAGCTTCTCGAATTTCAACTAGAACGAACAACGATTCAGAATACTACATCGATTGGAGACCATGAGAATACTCCTGGCAAAGGGGCCTATAAAGAGAAAAAAGAAGCCGATACTTGAGAATATGTATCTGAATTTACGACATATTTAGTACGGAATCTATGCATAAAAAAATGAGGCGAACCAACAGGAGCCCAGGGGCGCAATAGCTATTAAATGCCCAAAGCAGCCAACAACTCACTGACTAGGCCCATAATTGGGCTACCGCTAGAACCAAACCTCTGTTCCTACGAGCGGAATAGAAGTTTCTTCCCCACAATGAAGATACAGGAGAGGTATAATTGACTTGAGAAAAGTGGAAGCTCTAGTTCCTTGCAGATGTTTCTTTTGATTCCATAGAAATTCAATAGAATGAACTGGAGCTTGAGCTCTCTCCTCATGTGGAGAAGGTTTGTTTCCATTTGAAGAAAAATTCTCGCTGCTTTGCATAATGTGTGTATAAGGCTCTGACTAGAGTCAAGCCTATGTTCTCCAGAAGAGAATCTTTTCTCTTCAAGAAGGATACAAAAGCAGCCCTATTGAAGGACAAGTTCGACAAACATGTGCTCTAGCACACGGGTTCCGTTCTAGAATGAAAGGTGCATTCCAGAATAGTATGAAAACAAGACGAGATCTAGGTCCGTAGTATGCATAAATGGCCGTGCTTTCCAGGTTTAAGGATGCCCTGACCCATCCCACAAGAACACATATACTAAACAAATGAAAAGGTGTACAAACGAAGGGGTCAAGGTACGCCGCCGAACAGAAATCCAGAAACTATTGATCTAGATGCATTATATGGGCAAGACCATTATGTAATATGGTTTTCCCCTACTCAACTGCGTGCATTTCTTGATATAACTTATTAACTTATGTATAAGCTATTACAATACAATCACTACATTGACCAGGAGACTGATCAGTCGAGGGTGGGCAGGGGGGGGTGTTTTTATTGCGGTATCTATTGTGGTGTCAACAGTGTACTGCCGGGAAGTGTTTGGATGTGTTTGGGCATGCAGCACCACTGACTAAAACAAAAATGTGATAGTAGCAATGATCCTAGATATTATATGGTTCATAGCAGTAGCTTTCTACTGAAATTGCATGTACAATGAGGATGAGAGCAGTACGAGTAATCATAGTGATGTCGCGATAACCCTTTAAAAGGCAACAAGCAAGCTAATGACAAGAACAATCATCACGGTAAACGACCAGTGGCAGTAGCACCAGTACGTAGTACATACCAGTACAAGTAGAAACCAGAATCGCAACGCCCGGGAAACCAGGATAACCTCTATGGTCATTATGCCAGGAGACTGGATGAGCATGAACCAAAACCCCGGCTGCGGACTGCGCAACAACAAAACCCCTACACCAAGATCTCTGACCACACCTTCGTCTGGTACAACCGCTCCCACGGTGGAGGCGGTGGTTTGTTGCAGATACCTGGCATGCTATGCTCCCAACGGGCGTAGAAACGCCTTGTGAGCTAGGCGCAGCTAGGCTGCCTGTGTCATCTGTGTCTGGCTCCCTCGGCTCGTTTGATCCGTTTGCTGCAGTCTGCGGTCTCCGCTCCATTGCTGCCATGCTTGGCTCGTCAGCATACGCCTCAAACCAGAAAATGAGAGAAAGCAATGGAGGCTGCGTGCTGCGCCATGCTGCGCCATGCTGCGCCATGCTGCGCCATGCTGTGCCTCAACTTCAGTCGAAGGATTCCATCTTGCCGCAAGCCTAGGGCAGTCAACTGCTCAACCTGATCAACACCTCCAATGGATGCTGGGCTTCTATGCTGGCAGCTGACTGCCTGCGTGCAGCCGTGCAGCTCCTTGCCTCTGCTTGGTTTGCCTTAGTGAGCTTGGCTCCCGATTCGCAACGGAAGTGTCATGAATGCTCGGACTGTGAGCACATTGTAGGGCTAGATGGAATGAGCGTTGGACCGGATGCCAGCCACGTGCGCGCTATCTGTGCCTGCCAGGTGCTCTGTTAAGCCAAAGATGGTCCCACACGACGAATATTGGGCACACAAAGCAACAATCCCTTGTGCCTCCTGTTTTATTGCTCCAGGTTCTGGAGTTTTGCTGCGTTTGTCCATTATCTTGCCTCTGGGGTCCACGCGTTCCCTGTTGACATGCCTCACTGGCTTGACACCTCGACCATCTGAACTTTTTGCCGCACTGCCTCCAAGCGCCTTCGTGTTGGATGTTTGGTCAATGGCTTGCTTGCGCGACTGTCCGAATGGATCTGCAGCGCGACCTTCCCCCTGGACTGCTTCTTGGCTCGAGGATTGTGTTTCTGCTGCATGAACCTCCCCAGCTTGCTTTACATGCATCGCTTCCTCGTGCGAAGATGGCGTGTGCGAATCACCATCTTCCTTAACCTTAGACCCCGTCGACTCTCCAGCGTCTGAGGCTCTATGTTGGCTCATGGATTGTGCTTCTGCTGCACGAACCTCCCCAGCTTGCTTTACATCCATCGCTTGCTCATGCAAAGATGGCGTGTGCGAATCACCATCTTCCTTAACCTTAGACCCCGTCGACTCTCCACCGTCTGAGGCTCTGTGTTGGCTCGTGGATTGTGTTTCTGCTGCATGAACCTCCCCAGCTTGCTTTACATCCATCGCTTGCTCATACGAAGATGGCGTGCGCGAATCACCATCTACCTTAACCTTAGACCCCGTCGACTCTCCACCGTCTGAGGCTCTGTGTTGGCTCGTTTCTGCTGCACGAACCTCCCCAGCTTGCTTTACATCCATCGCTTGCTCATGCAAAGATGGCGTGTGCGAATCACCATCTTCCTTAACCTTACGACCCCGTCGACTCTCCAGCGTCTGAGGCTCTATGTTGGCTCGTGGATTGTGCTTCTGCTGCATGAACCTCCCCAGCTTGCTTTACATCCATCGCTTCCTCATGCGAAGATGGCATGTGCGAATCACCATCTTCCTTAACCTTAGACCCCATCGACTCTCCAGCGTCTGAGGCTCCTCTTTGGTCCCTGGAAGTCAAAGAATTTTCTCTTGGTGTGTGAATCTCCCGAGCCAGCAAGACATCGCTCCCCCGCGCGTAGCTCTGTGACTGTACCTCTGTGGGCGATTCGGCATGTAGCGGGGAGAGTTCATACTTGCCTCCGGGCTCCGATTCAGTGATGATAGGCGGGGTCCCGTGCAACTGCTCAAAGTCATCAAGCTGCTCCTGGTGGAAGGCTGCGCCACTTGGCAGGGTCTGCGGTCTACTCATACATCGCTCCCGGGTTGGCTCCAGCTGAAAACGTCAGACTTAGCAACGCCCGTGGAATTGGTGGCACCCAGCGAGTCAACGCAATCGGCGGCCATCATGCCTACAACATCTTACAACGGTCCCAACTTTCATGATGCCAGACTACATTCACGTGCTGTCTCTATGAACCCCACAAGCTTACACTGCAAATCGCTACGAAGGTGTCCCACTGTCCGCAGCCACTCGACCTTGATTCCATGCGTACTACCATGCCAGCGTGCTGCATTCCAGGAGCATGATGCATGCCTATAGCCTTGATAGCACTTGCACCCGCAGACCTGCTTTACTGCATGTTGCATATGTTGCGAGGTAATCCTGCAGCGGATGCTTCTCGGAGGTCTGGGCACATAAATTCTGAATGACTGTCCGATGCTACCATCAACTGCAAGCCACAGAGACGGGACAAAAAATTGACAGAGAGGCCACAGGTCCCTTTGCAAACTCTCGCGCGAAACGTACGCCTACTACCTCCACAAGTTTGCCATATTTCTTTAGTTTGAGCATGCAGCATGTCCCTGCTATGGTTCGTGGCTATCTGCAATTGATTATGAAAGCCATGTGCTGGAATCAGCAACCAGCTGAAAGGTTGGCTGTACACTGTACAAATTGCAGCTGCTCTTGCAAATATCGTCTTCATCATTCTATGGGCGGCCTGTGTGAGAATCAAGAGAGACTGGACTGCTGTCTTGAAGGCATCGAGCCGTGAGGATCGTGAGGCAGCTCCTTTGCCATGGCACAGCTTGAGCCTCTGACAGCCTCAGGCCCTGTGGCAGATCCTCCTTGAGCAGAAATGTTTAAAGCGATTCGGAGCATTTCCTCTGGCGGTAGACTGTAAAGTCTGTGATTGATGCTGAAGCAAATGCTGGCAAAGCTGACACTCAACGCATTTGAACGAATGAAGAAACGTCTCCCCGGCCAGGTCGCATCAGCTGCGTCAGCCTGAGAGCTGCAAAGCATGCAAAGGGATGCGAAAGGTTCTTGGCGAGGATCTTTCAAACTGCCAAATGCCGCCAAACGCTGCCAAGCTGCGTTTTTGAGCCTGGAAGACCAGAATAGGAAGGAGGCAGCCCAGTGCATAGACCGCATCAGTTCCTGGCTTCACCTTGCCCAAAACATAGCTGGCTTGTCCAGATGAGTTTCGGCAGGCGCGACCCAACACAGGATGCCCGTTGGTTCATCGTAGTGCATTGTCAGTACTTTTGCTGCAGCGTCTGGGAGTCACGTTAAGGTGCCCAGCGTTTGAAAGTTTCATCCACCCAAATCTCTTAGGCCTAGACTCTTCCAGGATCTGCATTTGTTTGGGAGCGATGCTCTTTGCACTGGTTACCTGCTCTTCCCAAAGTCTGCTGAACCCAAGCTCTGCTGGCTAACCCTTTTGACTTTTGAATGGTGTTTTCCACACTAAAGATTGCTCATGTCATTGTGGCAAACCTCATGAGGTTCCTAGGAGCACATGACAGATTGCTCGAACCCTCTGCCACTTGCTGCCAAGGGGGCAGTCAGAGACCTGAGCTCTCATGCAATATGCAGTCGAAGATTTGTGAGGCCCAATTTGCATCTGAAGAGCATGAAATTCTCATCATGTCCTTAGGTCTAATGCACGCCGAGCTTACTTTCATCGCTGGCAAAGATGGATTTTCACTTCTCCAAAGCCATCTTCAGCCTATGTCTTTGGCTCTCGAAGGTCGGCTGCTAGGCTGGAATCCCCTTTGATCCCCATTGGGTCCCTTCAACACACGTTTCATCGAGAGCGCGCAGGGGCCTTTTTTGTTGCGCAGCAAACGTTTTTGAGAAGGCACTGAAAAGCATGTCATGGGATGGCTGCTGGTGTTCTTTTGCTTTCCGGTTGGTGCATGTAATGCAAAGCGAACAAAAAGCAAATTGATAAAGCGCAAACCAACTTGGAAGACAAAAGCAGCCATGGAAACTTGAGAGACCCTGCAAGAAGCATCAGACGCGCTGTAACAGAAACGGAACTGCAGCAGGCTTGATTGGGAAGTCGTGCAAGGGCAGATTCAGATGTGTTTTTCCTAACTGGACTGGGAAGGGTTCCTGATATCTTCATTCTCGATCAGGGGCAACATGAGGGCTCTTCGCTCAAGGATCGGAGATAGTGCTACTTGCGATGATGGTATACTTCCAAATGGCTGCCCATAGGCGTGAGGCTGGCGGCCAGTCCGCTCCATGATTTATTCTTTTGAAATCTGTGGCAAGGCGCCAACTGTGGCAAAAGCAAGGAGGCGGCCAGAAGGCAGCAGGCCCAGTTCCACGCGTCCCGCAGCAAAACTCACTACCAAGGAGTCCTTGGCGATCCAGACTTCTCGTTAAAGTCAATTTGCGGTGTTGGTAGGGCCACTGCCGACTTCGTGCTCTCGCTTTGCAATAAATAACGCTGCCGCGCTGTGTCCCCTGCAAAGCAGTCAAAGCTGATGCCGATAACCACACTGCTGATAACCACACTGTTTGTACTCCTGTGGCAGTGGACTGCTGCTTGCGTGCCTCCAAGTGGTGCAGGCTTCAACTCTCCCAAACACTGTCCTTCATGCCACATCACGTGGGCAGTGACACTGATATGAGATCAAGAAAAAACAACAACATGCATGATGATCCTTCTCCATCTTTCAGCACGAGATCCGACGTAATAGCTAGAAGGATCCGGCCTCGCCAAACTTCTTAGCACGCAACGCTTTGGGGTTGGAGCTTTGCTTGCAACAAGGCGTGCAAGGCTGTGACACGGAAGCCGGGTATTTCAGAAGCGTTTGTTGCAGCTTCACGCGAAATGTTCTGGGGTCTCGAGTGATCACAGGAAGCTGCAGACCAGCTCACTGAGCGAAGAAGCCATCTCCAGGTAGCTTTCAGGGATCAACATCCCCAAGGGCCTTCTTCTCCCTAACGATCAAGCATTGCTACTCAAGGGATTCGGTGGAAAGCCTTGCTTCCCGGGCATGACTAGATAGATTTTCGGTTTCCCGGCCTCATTAGTTTTGCCATGAGATTCAGATGTCAGCGACGTTGTTGCAATGGCATCTCTTATGTGTGCCGATTTTAAAACATATGAAGGCCTGGTCGTGTCTCGCTAATGGCCGCATAAGTACATCTTGCACGGAAGTCCTGGAACTCAACCCTCAGTGCCCAGTAGCCCTTGGCCACCAGTTGAACTTCACTGATGAGGGCGCTATGGGTGGGAGGCCGACTTCATTCACCAAGAGAGTTAGATCAAACTAACGAAGGCTAGAACTTGCCAGTCCCTGTAGGAGCTGCCTGCGTCGCCTTCGTGCGAGTCTTCACAGCATCCAGGCTCCTGTCATGAACGAATTTGAGCAATCTCTCGGAAGGACTACTTGAAACAACGTTATCAGAACTCGGAACTCAAGCCAAAACACCTTTCTTGAAGACACAGCACGTCCCTATCCTGCTCACGCAGCTCCAGTGCTCCGGTGGATCCTGGGAATCGGCATTTGCGTGAGCTCTGCAGCTTCATGTGGTTTAAGCACATACCAAGTGTATGTATGGCCATGGTATGCCATGCTGGCAGTCTGAACCCTGCAAAGCTGTGCCTTCCAAACGCAAGTTTGCCGTCAGCAAGCGACTTGGTGGGCCCCTGCAAGGAGTGCACATGGGATGGATGGACAGCTTACCTACTCTGCCGTGAGATCGACCTCAAGGACCGGGAAGCTCCCAGACCAAGTACGTCGCAACCATGCTCTGTGACGGGCAGCGCAACGGATAAGCGGGCTCCTGTGTCAATTTATCTCAATTTTGATGACAACAGCTGTTAAACTTCTGTGCATTGGCGGAACTCAGTCCTTGCGTGGCCTTCATGTACGGTGGACAAATGCAGGGCAGGTCCGCAGGCAAGCCTAACATGCTTCCATTTGGGGCAAGACTCTGTTGCGCCACAAGCCTTCAAGCTATGACTACACGCCTCTGCTGTGTTCTATCGACTGCGGAAGCAGATCAGAAAAGGCTCAAAAGATAGCAGTGAAGCACCAATTACTCGTTGCTCTCCGACGTACGACGTATGCGAATCAAAATAGAATGCCCAGGCCTTGAAGCGGGAGCTCTTGGCAGTCGTCAAGAGGAAACAAACCCTCTGTGCTGAGCAGCTTATCCACCGCAACTGGCACTTGTTGCGGCAGTGACCTCAAGCTGTACGTAAACATGGCATAACATGGCAGACTCATGGCGGGCAGAAGACAAACTCAGCATTGGATACAAGTAACTCCGGCTTCTGGCACCTCTGGCATTTGTCATCCGGTTCAGGGTCCTTAGGTCCAAGGAGATCCACCAACGTCGACGTTTCAAATCGGCTGATGAAGTCTATACGAACACTTTAACTGTCATCTGAACAGGTAAACCCATCTCAGTCGGACCCGAGCTTTCGAGTTTTGTCTAAAAGCGCTTGCAACGTGACCTCATGTCACCTCCTTCTCAAGACAAACAGCTCTGATCCTACAACGTGCTTCTTCACGTTGCTGGTTCTGACTTTCCTACTTCCTCCCTACGCAACGCTGCCTGCCATCTTGCTCCACATCTGCAATCCGACTGATGGAGTTAGATCCTGGACAGTGTCTGAAAGGGGTGTGAGCCCCCCACTGGATCGGCCACCTCCACAACCCTCCAAAGCGCCGCGACGATGATTGCCACAAGGAAGAAGAGCATCTGCAGGTTGTGTGGGAATCCGAAGTGCGTTCTTCTACAAATGCTACAACTCACTACGAGCATCTACGAGCCACGTCAATGTTGAGGGTCAAAAGCCATCGGCCCTATGGCTCTTCAAAGCAAACGTTGCAGGAGCTCCCTGCTGCAGGGGTGCCATGAGAGCTCGCATTGCCGCCAAGGTGAGGAAGCCATCGAATTTGAAAGTTGTCAGGACGTCAGCCTAGCAAAGCCAGGTATGCCTTACATGCGACATGGTCATTCTCTATGATCAGCAAGCTTCAGGATGATAGAAGCTGTCAGAAAGTCACTGGTTCTGAGCGGTATGTGTGCATCGGCCAATGCTAGTGACTGGCAGTCGTTGCTTTGGCGCCGAAGCCCAGACAAACCTTCATGTCCAATCGCTTAGTGGCCTAAGTCCTTGCCAATCCCGCCCCGAAAGCACCCACCTGCACCGCATCTCGGGGAATCACTGAATCTCTGAGCGTCTCGGTAAGGACCTCGCGACACAGCACCTCAGCTGTTGAATAGCTCCAAAACTAAAGTGAAAATATATCCTTGGGCTCGTGGGCCACATCAATGATCTGCGCCGGATGCGAGCGAAGTGCCGGTAAGGCAGGCATTCGCTATGCTCCTGCCATCACATCAGGTTTGCCGATGTTTGACGTTCAAAAGTGTCCAGCATCACATTGCAAAAGCCAATATATGCATGTCCAACAGAGGCACAGGTCTTGCACAACTCAGAACCATCCTCTAGTTCTGCAATACTTGCACTGTGATAGCTAATTTCTTCCCGGCCGGTGGATTTTTTTGGTTACATGACAGGATGCCAGAGCACAAGTCTTCCTGCGGCCGTCCCCACGCAGATGTTTGAGGAAAAAGCCATGTGTGATTCTACAGGGCTTGGGTAGAGGCACACGAAAGCACGGCAAAGCAGTGCGGAGCTCGGTGCGCGCTACTCAAAGTTATCTGAAGGAAGAGTCTCGAGGAGGGTGGCGTAAGACTACTGGCTGGAGAAACCGAAGGTCTTTCTACGCCTGGCAAACACTCATGCCTGAACCTGCTGCGTCGGAAGCCCGCGCATGGACCGGCACTGTGGCTTCTCTATTGGTTCTGTATGTTCTGTATACGTTGCCAAGCACAGCCGACCAACATGAAAAATACTCCTAGCTGTCCTGGCTAAACTTGGCTGATGATCAAAAGAAAACAAAAGGCTCATCTGGATTGGCATGCAAGGTGGGTACGGTTTCCCGCTCCAGGAGCTTGAGCCAAAGTCCGCCGATTCCGGTTTTGGGTGTTGTGTCCGGATCTGCAACAGCAGTCAAACAAGGTGGCACGTGCAAAAAAGCTCGCTCCATCTTTGCGCCTACTGCACAGACTCGCTGGGCGTGGAGGCAATGGAAACGATTGATCAGGGGAAAATCGGCTGGCCTTAGCCAGTGGAACAACTGTCACATTCCTTTCGGCGACAGCTTGGTGATCTCATCTTGTCCGACGATTCGACGAACATCCATCGGTCGTCGCTGCAACATGGGAAACACACATCATCCGAAATTATGTTTGCATTCTGTCTTGCTGCCATCCAGCGTAGAACAAGTCCAGTCATAGCTAGGCTAGTGCGGCAGGCAGCTGCACAAAGGGTGACAAACCTGCTTCGATTACGTCGGCTTCTGGAGAAGTACTGATGTAGGGACCGAATGCCCTAGATCAGAAATGGTGTCACGTTTCGGCTTGAAGCTTAACCTAGGCCGTCTACTTTGATTTCTTATGAATTCCCACTTCCTCAGCCCCCCTATTCAGCAAAATCCATAGGATGACAGCGATATGCGCACGTTTATGCATGTCATGCACCCGCCCCTCACCCGCCCATTGCATGTCTACGAGTCTACCTCTGTGTGATGTTCTGTCCGCGTGAATGGATGGCGGGTTTAGGTCAATGTGCTGCGGCCAGGAAATTTCGATAAGGTTCCCCCAATTTGTTCCTGCTTTCTGTTTCCACCTGCCTGATGCTGCTAGCTCACAGCCACCATCGTTTGAGTTTCTCAGCTCTTGCGCCGCGGCGGGCGCAAAGATAGCAGTGCCAGCATCTGGTTAAGAGGCAGTGCAGAAACGAAGGCGCAACACCGCAGAACTGGCAGACTTCTTGTTTCTTCTGCTAATGCTAGAAGTGCAAAGGCAATAAGCGCAGTCTTACTCCATCTCACGGCTTCGCGCAACAGCGCCAACTGTCTTGCTCACAGGGCAATCGACAGCAGACAAGGTTGTTGCAACACCGCCCAAAGCAAGACGCGAAGAACGGCAACGTAGGCCGGCAGCAGCAGCAAATGGGGCGTCTCTCTCCGCCCCAGAGCAGCAGGTGCACCATTACCCCCTCCTGCCTCAAAAATTGACAGCTTGTGGTAAGTCCAACTTGACGCACCTCCCTGACATCTCAACAGTATTGGAACGATCAGGGGTCAACCTCAGCAGCTCTGCCAGGGCAAGACCAAATCAAGCATGCCTATTGACACGTCACGGCAGGTAAGACACACAGTTCACATCCCAGAATACTCCGCGAATGATGTAGTGTGGTAGAAAGTCCAATGACATCATGGACCCTTCAGAGCAGCTGCAACTGCGTCACCTCTGACAGGGACAACATCTAACCCACAAGTTGACAACTGCACGATGCAAATGCATGGTGCACACGATGCAACTGAGGCCTATCTCACTGGTTGAGACAGCATTGGATCGCTGACTTTCTTCCAGAAGATCTCCCGTCAGCCTCCCTGACCTGGCCAAAACTTCCCACAAATAACTCCCTGCATACTGGATGGACTTTGCGCAGAGGGCTCTTGACTGACTTAACCAACTGCTGAGATCCCAGCTTTAAGACTGCTTCGCAAGCTTCCTCGATTGCTGCTGCTTCCTTCTCCAACTGGAAGGAATACCTGCGTGATTGCTGCATGTGTCATCACTCTTCGTGCTGTTCCAAGCTGCGTAGTACGGATGAACTGTCAGCGGTGTTCTGTTTTTAGGGCCACCATACATTACCCAATTCAATTTGGGTTCTAGTTCACTCCACTTGTAAGGAAGGATCTCATTAACAAAGGCTTGTCCCTTTCGAGTACGGCCATGGCTATGGGTTGTTCGGTTGCTGCGTATGCTGCGTGCAGCTTGGCTCCACGTTGTCTCACGATTGCACAAATTCCAACAAAGAACCGTAAGTTTTCAGTCAATGCCAGCAAGCAGGAGGCGGTCCCATTCCCTTCCAGCATTAGATTCAGCTTGTTAAGATAGGCCTCAGCATCATCGCCCCACTCAAGATTTGGGCGATGGGATTCGCAACCCCCTTGCCTGTCAGTGAGTTTCAGCACAAGTTCTTAGATGGTGCGACCGGTGCATGTGATCGGTGGCCTGCTATGTCTGGGGCACTGCCTCCGCTGGGCTCGTACATGTGCAGGCCATCACCCAATGAGGCTGAAGGCCTTGCCAGGAAGACGTTGCTCAGGCAAAAGCACAAGTTCTTCGGATCTTGCGATAGCTGTGCATTGGCATAGGCTGTGCTGGACAGTCGAGTGGCATCAGCCCCAGCGAGCCAGGAAGCACGCTGGCCGCATCCGACAAGATGTCGCCGAACATGTTCCTGCCGTGCTCGAATGCGTGGACTTCACAGCAACTTTTTACACCAGAATGCGCACGATTGCGCATGAGATTCTAGGGTCCCTGTGGCAACAACGTCGAAGAAGGATGGCTTCTGGATAACTTGCATGCACGCGTTGTCTATGTACCTGAGCATTGCAGTACGGCAGTAGCATGGACTGGCACAACACCTAAAACCAAGTCTAGAGACATGAAGTCCAGCTCAACATCTGGGTAGCCCTTGTGCACATCCCTAGCCACCTGGTCGCGGTTGCTGGAGGCCGCAATATGTTGTAAGACGTTGCTGGCGGAATCATTCCCAGGCCTCGCGCCATAGACGGGAGCACTCCAGCACGTTGGCCTTGTCCACCACTGTCACCTGCCCAAGGCACCTCTGAGACCCTGAAGGTGCGGCACTGAGCGTGCAGAAACATCACCTCATGATGTTTTGCCTTCTTGCGCCGAAGCCGCGCTGCTTCAAAAGCAAAGACCATTGGCTTGCGGATGCCCTCCACCTGAAGGCCACTGGATTCGCACTCCAGTCCATCCAGTCCGTCAGATCAAGACAACTGCAACCTGTCTCTGAGCTCTTGGCATCATACTCCATGACGTCGAAGGCCTCCAAGCCGCGACGCGACGGCAAGGCCACTGGCAAAGGTTTGTGTTGCACCTTGTCTCCATCGCGCTTGTGCTCACCGAAGTAAATGCCTGCAAGATGTAAGGAGACTGGCTGACCTTCATGCAGTTTATCATGGCTGTAAAGCCTCCCACCAGCTCCCGAATAATCACCATGTCAACTCCGGTGCCTTTGGCGTCAGGTGCGCATGATCTGGCCCCAAGAAGAAAACTTGTCAGCTTCAAACATCAGGCTGCGGAAGGCCTATGATGGACGGCTTCAACGGGCAAAGATGCGAAAGGAAGGGGTACACCTTCAAAACTGAAGCAAGTCTTTCATTTCTACGGGCACTGAAACGAAGAAGGACACAGTCGGCACAGTCGTGGAGTCCGTCTCTTCATGAAACATAAGCCGTATCGTAAACCGCAAACCCTGCGCAGCATGCAACTTGCTTCTGGCCTTCGAAGGCCGCAAGTTCACTGCCAACTTGAAGCCTGTGAGCCGCATTGGGCCGCCGGCAAATTCACATACAGAAGAAACAATCCAACTGCCACAGAAAGCAGTGGCCAGCCTTATCCTGCTATTCACCAGGACCAAAACTCAAAAGATCTCAAGAAGGTTCTGCACCCCAATTTCATTCAAGGCTCGCTTCCTCAAGCCCAAAAGTGCGTTCTTCTCGCAATCCTTCCATCGTGGCCTTGTTCAGTTCAACCGAATGTGCACATAATGTATCTGCAGGCATCTGCAAGCATGGTCCTCCCAGCCTCCTCCAACCCTTCGTGTCCTTTTCCTCCGGCCGTCACTCCTCCCCTCCCTAGTGCCAGTCTTCCCAGTTCCTCCCTCCAGGTGCGCTGGCACATACTCCAGCCACCTTTTCCCTGCCGACTTCCTAACGGATTCAAAATTCCTCTTCTGGGCCACATGAGGCAGGGCCGGGAACCAGCAAGACTACCTACTGTGTTCCCAAGAAAGCAAGACACAATTAAGCCGCCAAACGAAAACAATTTTGGAACGCCAAAGCAACTGGGACAATACAAAATGGTGATGTTCAGGGCACAAAAGGCTGGGAAGGTCGGCAGCGCAGTCCAAGCAAAATGCTTGAACCAAGGTCCTGCAGCTTGTACTTGCAAGCGAAGAGCTTTTGTCACTTGCCGTCGATGCTGACAGGTTTTCGTGCGAGCAAATGCACTTACCACGCTCTAACCTGGGCCGTTTACACCTTGACAACACTTCTCTACCACAAGGTGCATCCCACCGGCGGCGACGAAGCCGAGCAGCAATCACGACGGCAGTGGAAGTTATTCCAATCTTGTTGTCCCACTTTTTCAGGCCCTGCATGCGTCACGTCCCCGACATTAGGTGCCGGCTTAGACAGCACTGCTTCAGACATTCTCAGATTGCATTTGCCAGGTCAGCCATTTTTTTGATGGACGGATGGATGACCGGCAGCCAGGCCTCGACGTTGCAGGCGAACTGCGGGTTTGCTGCTTCAGGTCTAAGCCTGGGGGCGGGAGCCCGCGTTTTGAGGAGTTTGTGTCATCGTGGGGGCTTAGTAGTGGGCTACTGAGCCACGCGGAAGCCACGCAAGCCAGGGTGCGCAGGGATACAGAAACTCTGACGCTTCGAGTTTCAGCCATTTGTGAAATGTGCATTACTCCTGACAGGGAGGGCCATGCCGCTGGATTGATTGCTTTGAACCAGCAAATCTGTATAAAGAAGGGTGATGTAGGGTGGCAGTGGGTCACACCCAAGCGCAGAGGCGATGCAAAGCCATGACTCCGACAAAAATTACGGCACTCACGGGGCCATTGTTCTAGTCGCCTAGCGAATGAGAAACGCTTCAACAGTTGGAACGGGCCTCAAACAAGCAAAAGGGTGATCAGGAGCGGCAAATAGCCGCAGACACCCTTTTGCTGTGAGCACATGCGGGAAGACCTCATTGAAGGGCACGAAGAGCCTTGGGGTTATCTAGCAGCCGCGCGAGATGCCTGGCGAATGGCTGGGATCCCGCCAGACCCGGCACCATCAGGATATGCGCTGCCAATGTCACGTCTGGGAAGCCCGACCAATGCTGAGATCCTTAACAATCTCATAGCATTTGACCAGGCCCTCCCAGCCCCCTGGATTGTGGGGTGAGGCTGGAATGTATGCCCTCAGGAGCTTGCAAACGACTCCATTGTGGAGGAAATGCAAGGTGGCATTGTGGCCACGGATGAAGCCACCGTCATGGCAGGCAGGCAGCACTTTGGACTGCTTTGTGGCTCATAACACTCTAATGCCAGGTATGTCAGTGCAGGCGGACTGGATATCTTTTTCAAGCCACGTGCCGCCATGAAAGACACCATCAATGAATGCGGAAAAGCTAAGACTGTCGGCGTTTCAGAACCCAATCTTCCTGACAGGTTGGGGTTGGAAGCACGTGCAACACGCCAGGGCACACCGGCAGGTCGCCGGAGGAAACAAGTCCCCTAATCCTGTTGCTAGAGGCAGGCCCCTATCAAGAAGACACGGTGCCTTTGCAGCTTCCAGCAAAAAAAGAGGAAGCCCAAACCATCTCCTCACAGTGGCAAACAGCACTTGAGCCCACAGGATGGGGGACAATTGCAAACCAAAGCTTCGAAGCGGGAAGCAGGACAGGCCAAGAAACCATCCCCTGGCGGGGCCCAGCCACTTTCCCCTTCCCCCGCGCAACCTCAGAACAGATCAGCAAACAGAAGGCCTCAGAGGAAGCTTTCGTAAGTACTATGGGCGCAGCCATTGCTGCTGCCGCTGCTAGATGCTAGAACTACAACGACGGCAGCAATAACAATGCATGCTTTTGGTACATCACCATTGCATTCACTTGTGTCCTTCTGTCACCACCTTGGGCAGGCTAGCGCACCGGACGCCAGGAAGGCCGCGACAAACAAAAGCTGAAGACATGGAAGACAGTTGAACTGGATACACATGCAATCTGCATAGCTTGACGGGGAGCACACAAAGGGGTATTTCGGGATGGGGAAGACATGATTAAAAATGGACTGGCAGCCTCGGGCTACTGGGTGGCAGGCTCGTGCTGCTGATCCACGGGACCACCCACCGAACCGAAGAGTATAGCATCCTGGCAGAAGATCTACCCTCGCGCCGGCCAGGAATGCATGGGAGAGGTGATGTCAAGGCTCTTTGATAAGGATGCACAGACTTACCGAGTCACAGGACATGCTTCCACACAGCCGGTCCGACTTCTCGCAGCCCTCGAGGGTGCGGGCAGGAAGATGCGCGGGCGTCTCCCCCGCTGCCTACAAATGAGGTGGCACCCTGGTTTCAAGGCTTCAGCTTCTTCAAAACATTCTTAGCCTCTGCAGCAGCCCAAGCCGCCCCACCAACCTGGCTTAGATCTGATTTGGAAGCGCTAGGCATGTCTGCATAGCCCCGCATCGCAATACTAATGTCTGCTCCCTCCGCAGCATAGCGTGGCTGTGCCTTGTACTCCTGAAAGTTGAAGCTGTGGCCGTAAAGCTCACCAACCTTCCGCACCACCTGACAGGCACATGCAGGCTAGCAAGATCCAAAGACCAGAATACTACCAGCCGCAGACAGCTAGCTCCTGAGGATACTGTAGGCGTCTTCGAAGATGCACAGGAGAGTGACGCTGCGAATGCCACAAAGCATTTAGCAAAAGGGAGCCAAAGAGTAAGGCTGAGACCATCATGTTCGTGCGCTTTCACAGGAACACCATATGGCACTTTACAGTACTCTCAGCCAGGTTCAATAGATGACATGCTAAACATGTTCAACCAAGCTGGCCAGGAAAAAGGCGAAAGATACACTTCACTGGCCTTGACAGCTTCCGTCATCACCTCTGGTCCGATCCCATCTCCGGCAAGGACAGCGATGCTTTTTGATACTGTTCTGGCGCCTTGGCTCAAGGTTTCCAACGACTCTGCCCTTCTTGTCATGCAGGCAAGCGGCCAGGAGCAGGAGCGCCGTAACCCGCGCCTGGAGGCAACGCTTGAGTCACTTTGCCCGAACAGTATGATGGCTATTGCGTCTGTGCGACTCATTTTTGCTTCCGCAAGCTGTTTGAAACGTAACCCTCTCGTCTTGGGCCGAGATTGGCAACAGGGAAAGGATTTGAAAAACCACCAGCTTGCAGTATAGAGTACAGAGGCATCCCAACCATCTAGACTCTATCCAGCCTCATGATCTCTCAGATACTGAAGAGCCTCCCAGGCAGCATCTTGCCTACTTCATATCACGGCTCCTTATGCTTCAATCACCCTTCCAGTACTTATGCCTTTTGTCCTCTGAGGATTCCTAAGACAGGACTCCTTGAACCTAGTCCTCATGATGGGAGGAAGACACCTTCCTGAGCCTGGAAGTGCATTTCAAGCTCGTTGCTCATAGAATTTAGTGCGCTACTGTTGGCATCATGCCTTGCTGAGATGTGATGCAAACCCATTCGAAGGACAAGTGCAGGAAATGTCTTTGAACACACGCGCATGCCGCATAGTGACCCCTGCCTAGTTCCGCCTTGGCATCTGTGTTTGCCCTCACGCTTTCAGACTAAAAATGCTCTGATGAGTCCTCACATGATGATAGATTCTGATACATGATGCGCCGCAGCTGCTCGAACGTTCCAAACCAACACAGCACATGAGGCATGTAGCTCTTTGTTGCAACTTGCAATGCCTCGGGCATGTTCGAAATTCAGGCAGCACACAGGCCGTTGACAGTAGAAGAGCGAAGGTATGATTGAATATGGTAGTATTCTCCAAAGTGTCTCGCAGTTGGCGCTTCCGCCGTCTGAAAACGGCATCGGTGCGGAAGCTGCGCATAGCTGCACTAAGCAGGAGCTGCAAATTGTTTGCAGGACACTACAAGTCACTTGCACAAGGATCAGCAGCCAGATGAGAGCTGCTGCTAATGAGGTATGACGGTATGACTCACCAACTCTGACTTGTCCATGCCATCGCGCCTGCCAGCAAATGTGTGGCTATGGGTATGGCTGCTCCTCAGACTACTTTGACAGCAAGCAACTGGGGGGTTTCAACAAAGGCCAAACCAATGGTGCGGCTATAGTACAGACCCCGCTGCTTGCTCTGGGAGCTTTGAAAGTTCCAGTCTTGTCTAAGCATATAATAGCAGTTTCTGTTCTGCTTTCTCAGTAAATTTCACACTGCTACAAGTAGCTTGCTGGCATGATGCTGCCATGTTTGCAGTCACTGGAGCCCCGCACGACCCTTGGTTGAAGAAGCACGGACAATGTATCGAAAGTTAGATGTCTAAAGGAAGACTCACTGTGACGAGAAGACGCGAGTGTGACATGGAGAAGCACCCGTCGTGACTACGCCAAGTTTGCCTCGCACATTTACCGGGTACGTGCGCCAAGTATGCGCCACATACGCAAACTGGACGCGATACAAAGGCAGTGTGTGCGCACACCTGTGCTCAGCACCACGCAAGCGAGGATCTCTCAGAAATCGCACTGCAAAAGGAGGTCTTGTAAGCCTTCTCCGTTCTGAGCTATAACAAATTCAAGGACATTCAAGGACGCTAACAATAGCAAATTGCTTTCAACATGGACTGCAACCATACGAATTCGCAGAATACCTAGATCTAGCCGGATCTACTTGTGCATGAACTGGCGATGCCTGCACGCTTCCTTACCGCATGGTCAGTCATTGCGGCTGCATTGATGATCTCAATGAAAGCTGCAGGCAAAGATCCAGGCCAGCCTTGACTTTGAAGGGGCGACTGAGGCTGCCTCCATGGGCACCCCAATGTTCATGAAGAAGCATGCAAGGAAGGAGGCTGGGCCGGTCGCAGAACCATGTTACATCCAGCACCGAGCCTGCAGGCATCTGTGTTCTTAGCCCAGAAAGTGCACTGCCATGTGGCCAAGCAACGGTGGGCTGACTGGCGATACTCGCATCGGTGACCTACAAAAATGCAACACAAGGTTTGCAGATCTTATGGGAGAGCAAGAGGAGTCTTATGTCATCATGAAACACGGAAGGGTGGCGACAGTGTTGTAAAACAGGTATGCATAGTCTTGACCGCTGGAGGTGGGCTTGAGGACTCTGCTCAAGAAGACTGACACGTGTCTGATCCTGTCTGCCAGTACTGGGATTCTTTTGAGCTGAAACCTTTTTGCAGAACCTGGCAGGGCCCTTGCAAATCCTGAAACGCAGGTAGTACTTGCTGCCACTCTGCTGTCAGATTCCAACTGTTACGTTGGAGGCGTCAGTAAAGGATCAGATGCAAGCATGAGAATGCAGGGCAATCCATCATTGCTTCAGTGACTCCAGTGTTGCCAGCGGCCTGTGCCGTAGCTCCAAGATCTGCTCCTGCAAAAGACACGGCATCAAGCGTTGCCTCCAGACTCTCAGGAGCACCACTGACACAACATTGTCCGCCAGCACTTCCCTTGACCAAGGACCAAGATCTGCTCCTCGAGGCGGTGGATTCGCGAGTCCACCTACAGAATGAAGCACTAGGCATCACCTATGCGCTGCCATTGCCTTTGATACTCGAGTCATTCGGAAGAAACGTGCCAAAACATGCCAGAAGCTCTGCCATTTCTCTGCCAGATGCGACAGATGCGATGGGAAGCAGCGGGGAGCCCATTCGCACGCTGCCCTGCATGTGGAGCGTGTAAAGATCTTCCAACAACCCCGGCATTAGCATCTATGCCCAAAGCAACATCAGAAACGCAACAGGTACTGAGGATTGATTAACCTCCATGATGGTTACGACGGTGTGCGTTTGCACTTCCCCACTTAAGACCCACATCAATTCAAAATCGCTAAGACTTTGGCGGTTCCTTATGCTGGCCGTGCAGCAATTTCTGCAGGGCTACACGCTTTAGAAAACAAGGGTGGGTTGGGGGCGCAGCCCCCCTTTTGCGAACACAAGGATCGTGTCCCGTGTCTTCAGAGGATTCATATGGGTCTTGCAGCATCTTGCAGCAATTCCTGGAGGGTTGCATGACTCAAAAAAAGTACGGAGGCCAAGGGAAGACTTGTCCACCTTCATTCTTTGATTAGCTGCTGGCTTGTTTCCTTCCCTTCTTGCTTCCTGCTTCCTCCGCCCGCCCGTCCTTCCGTCCGCGCATTTATCGTTCCTTTCTTCCTTTCTTCCCTCCCTCCTTCCGGCTTCCTCCGGCCTTCGTTTCTTCCTTCTTCCTTCTTCCTTCCTTGCTTCTTCCTTCTTCCTTCGTTTGTTCTTCCTTCTTTCTTCCCTCCAGCGTCCTTTTTTCTTCCCTCCATCGTCCTTCCTTCTTTCTTCCTTCCATCGTCCTTCCTTTTTCCTTCCTTCTTCCTTCCTTCCGTCCTTCTGTCCGTCCTTCCGTCCTTCTTTGCTTCTGCGGGCTGGGGGACCATGGCACCAGGAGACAACAAAAAGGAGCCAAAAAATGATGCCCTCCCTCCATCATTCGCCGCGGGCCTCCATAGAAGGCACAGCAGCAGGATCACCTGGGATTTGACACTTTTCGACTTCTTAGCATTGTCATCCCCAGCCAGCCATAGAAACTTGCTGAAGCAGCCGCCAGCTAGCTGTCGGTGCACAAAGCCATGACATGGCATCTTGTGCCTGGCAGGAAACAACAGGTCTGAGGTGCATGTCGTGCTGAACCGGCTGAACCCATTCGCCTCCTTTTTGTCTGATAATTGGTAAATGCACCTGCTGTAATCAAGAGCATCCTCCCGAGTCTTTCAAAAGCTCTGAATTCAATCCAAAGAGCTATCAAGTTGGAGGTACCTGTCTGAGGACATTTGGGGCACCTCAGCGCCATCGCCAATAAAAAGCAACGACTACACGATAAGAAGCTGCCTGAGTGAAGCTGTTCCTGCGAAGAAACTGGCGCATTTGCAGCAACAGGTCCTGATCAAATGTGCTCAGTGCCGAAAGGCGCTTCCGCTACAAGGTCACCTTTCATCCCCGACGGGTGCTAGTCCCTCGCTCCTCGCAGGAAATTGTGGGGCTGATGATGTGCCGGAACGCGGTTGTCATGGCCCCTGCTGCCTGCGCCGGTTGATATAAGGCTCGCAAGTGAACCCTGGAGTGGGGAGATGCCTTCTGTGCGAGATTTCCTGACCTTCAGCTCTGAGCAGTGATTTCCTGTGTGAGCATTGTGACCAGTTGCTGGGGCACAGGCTGTATATCTGCGCTTGTTTGGTCGTCCGTGCAGCCGGAGATCATCACGACCTACGAGGAGATGTCCTGTGCAAGCGCTTGTGCATCCTGGATGCGCCTCCCCGTTGGCCGGTTTGGACGGCCGACCGCTTGGACGCCGGTATCGACTCCTGCTGAACCCCAAGCCAGATGCAGGTACGGAGTCATGCCAAAATCACGTATCGTTTGGATGGCTTGCTAAGAATTTGAGAGGTAGGACTTGCTAGAAATTTCATAGATAAGACGCAGGACGTCTTTTCATGTGTCCAGGTAAGAAAACATATGCCAAGTGCCGTGCCTGAGCTTCGTACACCGCAGCTTCTTTGAATCCTGAAATTAGCGTGCTAGGAAGGAATGCAATAGTGAACGCAGCATCCGCTCAGGCAGGTGCCGCGGCTGCGTGAACCTCGAGCATGCAGTCAGGATGCTAGTTACATTACCTAGCAGTCTCAAACAACAAGTGTCCACCCTGCCAACTCCGCGAATCTCGTCAGGAGGGTTCCAGCACGGCGGCTGGGGGGTGGCGAAACGTCCATAATCCAGCAACCAGGCAGGTCAAAACGGTGACACGGTCTGCCCATGCGATCCCATGTCTTCATCGCTCCTAAAGCCTCAAAATTAAGATTATCCCCGTTCCAGCTTCATCGATACCATCAAATTGTTTGGCAAGACTAAACACCTTGCATTGAACATAAGTTCCTGAATGATTCCTGACGTGCAAAGGCAACGCGAGAAGCCTGGCCGGCTTGAACGTTTGTCTGCTCGCTAGAAGGACTCTGAGAGGATGGCTCCATATTCGGAAGCAAGACCTCACTTCTTCTTCGGATACGAGAAATGGAGTGCAGGAGCTGGACTGCCTGTTCAGACACGAGAGACACTGATTCAGAAACAATGACTCCGAAGCTGATAATTCGGAAATACAAAGCTCGGATTCGAAAAACAAAACTCGGATTATGTGTTTCCCCTCTCATCCGGCAAGGCCCGTGAAGTTCAAAAGCTGGACCGGGGCAGCAAGTACGAGTATCACAGGTTCAGGGTGGCTGCAAACGTCTCATGTAGCTTGCAAACGTAAGCTCGCCATGGGTGAAGTCCTGGCCCCACGGACCCGTAGACAGATCCTCCGTGCGTGTGAGGCGGCAGGCAAGTTATCAGGACGTGTTCCCATGCAGACATCCGTTCAAGAGGAGTGTTTCCAGGCAATCGTAGCCCTTAGGAGTTTACATTGCAGTGCACACGAGAGAACGATCCAGGATTTCACTTATAAAGCCGGCCGAACATCCCGCTTTAAATTTCTAGTTTAATGCTCTAATCTTGTTGAAATATATTCCGTGCCATTGGGTATACTCTGATGCATGTAGGACTGCTTGCAACTGCGTGGTCCATGTTTTTCACATATCCTGGGTCGAACGTCGATGGGTATGTATGTGTGTAGCTGCTTTCTTGTAAACACTGTTAAAGTGCTTTGAAAAAGCCAGGCGACACAGGGGCAGATTCGTTCACAGAATCCGGGGACTCCTTGTTGCAAGCTGCCTCCGCCCCTTCTCAAAGGTTTGCGTCGCATTACAGCAACCGTGAGCACGACGTTCTGCCGAGAGTAGGTGTTGATTCTGTTGCAGGCAGTGCACACTCTAGGGAAGCAGGAGCATCGAAGCATGGCACCTGCGCAAGAATGACACGCATGACGTGATTGGCTCAAGAATAAGCCTGAGCTCAAAAGGTGCTGGATTTCTGATGAGTGAAGATTGGGAGGGTTGATGGGTGAATGGGTGTGTGAAAGGGTTCTGAGGTTCCTTGAGGTCCGTGCGTCCTTATAGCAACCTTGACGATGTTCTCCATTCTGTGAGAGTCAGATTGCAGCAACGTACACAACAGGCTTTGCCTGCCCCAATTCATTAGTTCATAGTCACCACACCATCACCTGGCCATAACCAACAAATTCCGATGTATCGGGTTGTATGTCATACCTTAGGACACTTGGTGCCAATACTTTTGAGGCACTCGGGGAGCAACATTGTGCACGGCGCTGTGCTCTACAAGAAGGGAGGCGAAGGGCACGTGGAGTGTGACGAACACGTTTTGGACTTGCACTAGGTTTGCACTCTCTGTATGTCATTATGTAAAGCTCGTGCTCTTCCAGTTCCCCTGTCGACTGGGCATTCGCGGTTGACAGGAGACTGAGCCCGCAGGAGAGAGAGGGAGAGAGAACAGAAAAAAAGCACAACTCCGCCGAAGTCCAAGAGCCATAGGGCTTACGTCAACGTAACCCCATTTTTCCAAATCTAGGAGGAAGGAGGACCAATCCGTGGCATGACGGCCTTGAAGGCGAGATCCAGCGCAGAGCCGCTGTGGCAGCAGTCAAAGATTACCCACAGTCGGCATCCCTGCACGTATGACAAGAGCACAACCGATAACGATCACATAGTTGGCATCAACTGCTGGAAGCCCAATATGCACCTCTGGCAGGTGCTCCACCAGTAAGCTGTGGAGCTGATCATCGCTAATCTGCCCTCAATTGGAATCATTTGTGCAAAGCCCAGACAGTTGGCAGCACATCTTGACGGAAGCCTGCGGTTTGGAAGTCACAAGGGATCAGTGTGTCATCCTGCATCATACACGCGATGAAAATGCGATGTAGAAGCTTGTAGAGACTGGGCATGCCTTGCCAGTCAGTTCGTCTCCGCTCCGATCGTCTGCACGACCACCATGACCTCACGTCCCGTTTGCACTTCATGGATGCTCATACCGGCAATCGCCTTTGCCAGCTGATCCATTGAAGGTCCGTGCCGCTGTAGTGGAGAAACAACTCATCTCCACTCCCGACTCCCTGCGCAGAGCAGAGGCCCACCCAGTGAATCCAAGGCAGTCCTTTCTGGCAACACGCAGACAATCGAGCCTGAGTCAGCCAATGCATGGCAGCAAGCATGTTGGCCTCGTCCGAATGCTGCTTTGGAAGCAACTCGTCTTGAGTTAAGAACCAGCTGTCCTTTGCAACCGCCACAACTAAAGCCGTTGCATCGGATCTTGGAAGGGAACCCTACCCGCAAGTTGATCACAGCGGACAACTTGCCTTGGTGGGCATCATGTTTGTGCGGTCGTCACGCAAGCGGCATATTTGTCCATCCTCGAACTTGAAAGTGTCCTGCAGTAGACAAAGACAGTTTCTAGTGAGAGCAATCATGCCCTTCGAGTCTAGTACGGTTGCAACTGTTGCAAGTATCACTTTACTCCGGGATATCTCAATCTGGTAAAAAATCCCAGGAGTCTCAAGGAACATGGCAAGTGTCCTTCAAGACGGCGATCATGGTCTCAGAATCATTGATGCAGCCTGATAGCCGTCCCTGGCCTCCGTCCATACAAAGAAGCGTGTGAAATGACGGCTGCTCGAAAGTTGAACACCAGCAGCTCTGGCAATTTTGGTAGCAAATCTGAACTGATCACTCATCTTTTCTTTGACAAAAAGAACTGACCAGGGCAATGATAGTTGCAGCCAGACCGGCCACCGGCCTGGAGTAAGCGAAAAGTAGTTTATACCTCGCTCTACAGGCAGCACCATAGAACACACCGCAATGATTTTCTGAGTACCAAGCCAATAGTCAACGCCCGGCGCTGCGTACTTCGAAGCCTATGCTTGCAAGGACGGAAGATCATTTCTCGGACAGCAGCGAACCGGCTTCAAGGCAGGCACGGTGCGGGCACCTGTGTCGCAGGAGCGTCTGCCTGATCAATGACAGGCAGCAAGACACGCAGTCGTGGGAGTCTTTTCTTTCCCATCAGAAGGAGCGCAAATGGCACGTAAAGCCAAAAACCAAATTGAATACCAACAGCCCTCTCAAATAAGAACGATCCTCGGGCAGGAAGGACTCCTCGAAGTTCAAATGGAACTCCATGCACAGCTGGGGCACCTGTGACTTGCCAAAGCAAACGCTTTCCCATGTGCCGTATCTTCTCTTTCAGATGTTTATGGCCTATCTTCCACAGTCAGGGCCGGGCTGGACATTGGGAGCGGTTGACTGGTTTCGGGGTTTCACACTTATTCGTTGATATGAAGCCTTGATGCATCCGAAACTGTCCTACGCAGCTCTCTGAACATCACGCTTCTGCAGAAAGCTGCAGCTACGAGTAGGCTGGCAAAGATGACGCCTGCTCAAAATTGTGCTGCTTGAGAAAGCTTCGCATGTCAAGCAGAAGATGGTGATACCTGGCATGACGAAACAGACCAGACCGCTACACAGCAGGCTACTGCCACAGATCGTCATACTGAGATTTCTGCGAAATAGTTTTCTTCTTCGAGATCACCTTTTTGAAAGCCGTAGTCATTGCACCTTGAACGACAGCCAAACTGCATCCCCTGAATATGACGAGCATCCAACAACCTGAAAGGCAGGTCTATGTTGCACACCCGCAGCACTGTTTCCCGCAATGCCCCCAGAAATGTCGGAACTTGTCTGGAAGTCCTTGCAGCCTGCACTTCCACCATGTGAGGAAAGTTGCATTCTACTTGCTGTCGCATGCTGTCGCACCTGAAAGGAGGACGACTTCTGCCTCGGTGGGATGCTGCCGCCTGGGAAGATGAGAAGCAGACCAGGCAAGATAAGGCAAGTCATCCTGCAAAGCATTGCAAAGCACACTTGGAATCGGACCGCCTGGAAATGGGTTGGATTACCAGGGTGCCATCATGGTGAACCCTAGCCTGGAGGAGACACCAACTTCGTGCTCCCGCAGTGCTCATGCGACATGACATCTTCTCACCTTGTAGCTTAGATCCATTCCCGTGCCACTGTGACCTCGAGGAGCTGATCTCAATTGAAAGGTTTCAACGGTTGCTGATCAGAAAACTTCAGTCCAGTCCAGACCAGTGGCAACAATCCATGAGCACCGTGAGGCGGCACCCTTTCGGAAGGCCGCTAACAAGGATTCTCCTCATCTCAGACTTCTCTCAAAGTTGCAAAGTGACGGATTTTTTGTCTCTATACAAAAAGGCCCCTCGCAACACAATCCTGAGCTCGTCGTCCGTGATCATGCCAGCCCTGTTGAAGTCGCAGGGCACGATGGTCTCGTCCTCTGAGGCCATTGGCATGAAGCCACACCAGCTCCAACAATCAGATTGAGTGCACGGCTTTTCCATCAGCTTCATCACCGCTTGCATCACGCTTTTGGGAACCATGGCCGCTGTAGTGAAACAAGAGGTGGTCACCTGGCCATCATGGCCATCACACCTTGAGACACCGGACTTGAGGCACAGCCTGCAGCAGCTCCTTTCACCAGCCACTGCAAGGCAGCAGTAATGTTCCTCAAACAAGGAGTCCGCATTTTTGGTAGGTTCAAAGCACGTTCTCGACTCTTACAATGCGGACTCCGATGCGGCCACGGAGCTTTCGGGTTGGCATCCGCTGCCTGAGAGCAGAACAATGTCTTTTCTGGGCCAAGCTATCTTTACATCAGTAAATCCATAGGCTGAGCTTTAACATGTCTTTCAATGTGCTTCCTCAGATTTCTCGCCTTTCAGGAGGCTACAGACGATGATTTTTGCAACATTTCAAGCTCTTCAAGGTGCCAGCTGATCGGCTGCTCAGAGCGGGGAAGCTCCGCAATGCGCAGTAGTCTCATGGATACGAAACAAGTGACATAAATCATCGAGTTGGACAACGATCATGTTTGCCAGTTGTGTTTCGGTGACTTCACGATGTTTCTCGGGTTTCTGGGAGGGGGGGTGGCTATCTCAGGTTGTGCTGCATGAGCGCTTGCGGGTGCTCCGAAAACCCACACATAGTTTGGCGTCGTGTATCGCGTTGAATGGGTTCTCCAGAAGAGGCACATGCACACTTGCAACCAGAACTCGTATCAATACCTAGCTTGCTTGCGGACTTATGCTTCTTTAAACTTCTGCTGCGGTGGACACGTATGTCCACCTGTACATATGGCCAGCCATTCTGGTCAGCGGACATGGACCGAAGGTTCTGCAGCCGCAGACATTCTTGCTACTTATAGAATCGGCCAACAAAACTTTCAAACATATTTAACAAGCTCTTCAAAAAGTATTTACTTCGAGCATCCCCACCCTAAAGCCGTTATTGCACAAGAAGGGTATATAACGTTTCCCTGCCCCCTGTC